TTCTAGGCTCTCTGATTCAACTGACATCTCATTCATTTTACTTCATTTTACTTCTTATCAGAGGGCTGGGCTTGGCGTGCTGCCGTCCCTGGGGTCACAAAGAATTCGCCAGGACTTGAGGGCCGAGTTAACAGCAGAGGGCAGGGCAGGGTGTTCCAACTCCTATCAAGAAGAGGGACAGTGTTCCAAGTTGTCCTGGCATGTTTCAACTTACAGATAAAAGAGGCCAAGGTATATATTATAGTCACTGCCAGGGCCAAATTGTGGGGTCCTTTCAGTTTGAATTTCATTCGAGTCAAAAAAGCTAATGGTCAGACAGAATTTATCCCACATTTGGTCAAGACAGTAAGGGGACTGCAGAGGGAAAAAGCAAGCTAACTAGGAAATCTAGAAAGAAAACAGAAACTTGATGTTCAAGTATGTGAGTATCACTTTACAAGCAGGGAAAAAAGTAGTAAGATGGATCAGAGTGACAAAAATGTGGGATAGCCCTGAAAAAACAAAAAATATTTTCTATGCTAATAAGGTTGTATAATCTAAGCAAAGCAGAGTTAAATACAGCTAATGAAATTTCTTTCGTAAACTAAAAGGAAGTGGCCAAAAAAGGTAGTAGCAATCTTTTATGTTTTTTTTTTTAATTCATTGCCTTTTAAGGCCATATTGATAGTCTCAAAACAGTCACTTCTTTAGCCAAAAAAGAACATAGTTTCTAACATGGAAAGTTACATGCTGCTAAAATTGGCACTATGTATGGGGCTATATAGTCCATAGGGTTGCAAGGGGTCAGACATGACTGAGTGACTAATACTTTTTTTTTTTAATGAGGAAATGTAAAGTATGTGATATTTAAAGGCTTCAGCTAATGATCCAAAGAGACAACTGCAAGTCTCACACTACTGAGACTCCGCTTCTTGGATTTTGATTAAGTGACTAAAGTTCCAGCCCCAGAACAGCGATGTACAGTAGAAGCCCCACACGACAGCTGGCTGTGAAATGAGTATAGTTTCACCCTCTGTGCAGTGCCTGGTGCCTTAGTCATGTCCAACTCTTTGTGACCCCCTGGGACTGTAGCCTACAGGCTCCTCTGTCCATGGAGATTCTCCAAGCAAGAATACTGGAGTGGGCAACCATGCCCTCCTTCGGGGGATCTTTCCAGCCCAGGGATCGAACCCAGGTCTCCTGCATTGCAGGTGGATTCTTTACCATCTGAGCCACCAGCGAAACCCCTCTATGATTTACAAAGGAGTGTCTTTCTCTTTTAAAGGTTTGCACTGGAAAGGCAGCATCTCACAATCTTGAATACTCCCCAAATTTGGACTCTAATTTCATTCAGACCAAATTTATAATTATTTCATAATTATTAAAACAATAATTATGGATATTCATATTAAAACGGGATTTGCAACTTATTTTCCAGAGGAAGATGTCATAATTAAAATACAATGATTTGAACAACAAAATATGCTTACACCGGCTATTAACGGTAGTTTTTATTTACTATGGTACTAGTTGGTGGAATTTCTTTTATAGATTTCATGAAAAATAAAAAATGCAGCTAAAACTTGCAGTGGAAACTAACTTAATATTTTAAACAAATATTCCAATGAAGTGATTAGGTAACATGTATTAATTGCTTGCTAAGTTCAAGCTCCTAATACCAATTTTTAGAATTACTATGTTTCGGAAACTTGGCTGTATCTTTTTCAGGTATGTTTTACTTGTTTTAAATTTTCCGCTTCTGATTTCACCCTTCTCCCTGATTGCCTGCCAGATTTAAAGAGGTGACATCTATTTGCTAACACTGTTATTCTACTATCTCCATCAAAACATTGTGATCAGTTTCTTCAACTCTGTCAGTTTACTTAAAATGACACAAGTATTTTAAAGTGCATTATTGGACCTTAAGGCTATATTTATAATAGGCATTAACACAAAACAATAAAGCTGACCACAGGAAAGATTACTTTCAAGAGTTGAGACAGATCTCGGCCACAAATATGAAAGGTTAAGCACACAATCCAATGGGAAGACTGACATTAAGGCATATGTGCAGCTTGCATAAAAAATTCAAATATAAAATGGCATTTGGTATGAATTTTTATCTTGGTACTTAATGAAGTATATCAATTAATATTACTTAGGCCACTAACTTTTATAATCATGAATTCAATAGAGCTTATAAAATTGTAGTGTTAAAAACAACTGCATTGTTTAATAAGGGAGAAACTAGATCAATGTGTTGGCAGATGTACTGTAATTTGACAAAAGTCCGGGAGGAATGAAACTGCTTTGCAAGTTCCTAAGTGAGTTCTTAACCCACCCCTTTCCTCCTCTTTTCTACTGTAGAGGAGCTGGTTAGAGTCTCAGAGAAGTGGAGAAAATGAGGTTGGGTTGTTTCAGGACTGGAAAACCGTTTGAAGGTCTTGTAGGGGTCTTGGGCCAGCTATTTGGGTGATAGGCTCAAAAGATAAAGACTCACCTGTGGCCTTGGGACTCAAGAGATGGTGGGTGACACAAGACAGGGAATTTCCTGATAGGTACTAATGAATCCGGTATCCAGAAAGGACAGCACAATTAAAGGTATCAGGTTGTAACCTGAGCAGTGTTTAATTACCTTCGATTGTTCTCCAGTCTGCTCTACCTTTAGGGAACAATAGCACCTATCGGAAAATCAGGGTGGTGGCAAGAGAATGCTGTTTGTGCCAAAAGGTTTGATTCCGCTTTTCTTCTTGACTCCACGGACACAAGTTCTTCAGGAAATGTTGGGAATCATTTTTTTAAAAAAGTCATGCTGTTCTGTTTATAAGCACCCCAACAAACCATCAACTTTATGTACACTCAAAATTATTTTTCTGTGGGTAATGTGGTCATTCATAATTACCAACATACTGCTTCCTACTTTTCACAACGGCATAATTAAGCTCCTCTGTGGAACAACATGCATGAACATGGATAGTGTTTTTAAAAATGTGACAAACATGATCATTTTAGCCATTTCACTTAAATTCCTCAAGTTTTGAAACTAGGCAATCCAAACATCAATGTATCTTTCTCTCATTATCTTATAGACATCTCATTGTATTTTATTTTTATTGGAATAAGATGAATTTTCTTTTGTGTTGGCAAGATATTTATTGGGCTAATCAAGCATGAGGACAAATTACCCTGCAAAATATGCTTTTCTTTAAAAATGGTGCACTTTTACACAACTTTTTCTCCAAGAAAAGGGTCTTAAATATATTATCTCTATGATCTGCATTCATTGAAAATGCATTAAAATTTTATTATAAATATAAAAACCAAATTTAAAAACTTATGAAAATGTTCACACAGTGACAAAAATATATGTAAAGGGTCTTCACCAATGTTTTGTAACAGAGAAGTGAAAACAATCTTGATGTCCACTGAATAGGGGGCTGATTAAATAAATTAATGTATGCCCCTCAATGGAATATGTAGTAATTTACAAAAGAATGAGGTAACTCTATTTAAACACTTATGGAAATATGTCTACCAACACATAGTAAAATGAAAAATAGTCACAGGACAGTGAGCATTATTCTATTTGTACAAAACTAATACATACACAGATACACACACACACATACATATTTACTTATTTGTATATTTTTAGATAGTATCTGGAAAGACCTATACCAAACCATTAACAGTGGTTACCCCTAGAAAATAAGGGGTGGGGAAAAGCAGAGGAATTTGTGTTTTATAATTCCTTATAGCTGATTTTTTTTAAAGAAGCATATATTACATTTATAATGAAAACATATTAAAATGATAAGCCTTGGGTAAAAAGATATTCATCTTATACACATACTTCTTTTTCTAAAGTCATTTTTAAAATTTCCTCCAAAAGGTAAGGTTGTTTTACTTTCAATGTTGGCACTAACATATAAATAATCTCTTTTATCTTTCTCCTTCCTTTTTAAGATCTTAATGACACTCAGCAAAAAAATTCACAAATACCTACTGTAAGTCACTAGCAGGGAAAGGCCTGATATATAGCAACTCTGAAAGTGAAAAATGCACACATTAATTTTAAAAAGTCTATGAAATATAAAAATGAAAATCCTGTGCAATGCTGTGCACACTATCACAAGTGTTGATGAGAGAGCCTTCACTGATAACAGACACTGCTCTGTAAGTGGAAAATTGGAACATTTCCAAATAATATAAAAATATCTCCAAAAGATAAGTTATTCAAAGAAAGGAATAAAAAATCCCTGAGTAGGCCAAAGACAACAGACACACAGATACAATAACCTAAAGAAATAGATTATCCAGGACCAGAGAGTATATTATTTAGCTAGTTGGTATATATGTATTCATATGCAGCTATGTATATATCTAGATATATATACATACACATATCATACATAGACACATCCACTAGATTTAGAATTCATCACATGCACACATCATTAAACTAACACCTAAGTCCTGGAAGGGAAAGAGTAATTTACAAAAATTAAGCACTTTTCTGACAAAATTATGTGGATTTAGGGCTAGAACTTTCCATTCTCTCAGTTTTCATACTAAAGGATGTATACTAGGCACTCAATAAATAGTTGTTGGATTGATAGATAGTTGCATGGATGCAGAAACAGTGTAGAGGCATGGATGAATTTGTGAAGCTACAGCATGACTTCTTGTATCATGTTATGCTTTTGAAATATGCTATTCTAGGACCATAAATGGACACAGCCTCCTCTAACTGGAAATAGACTAGTCCAGCAGTAAAGTTTTTCTGAGTGTTACTCAGAGAGAATGGAAGCGCTGGCTTGTTATCTGCGCACATAAACTTCACAATCATGTACTTTTTAGATCAAATAAAAATGATAAATGTTATACTCTGAAGCCCAGACAAACTATCCATGTTAATGCATGTTTTATCACATAATCTATTTCAATTAAGAAAAGGCAGCTGACAAGTAAATGCTACATCAATGCCAATAACTAATGTTAAGGATTTGGAGACAAGTGGAAACTTTAGGCTTCTTAGGGGTCTTTAATGATGAATACTCATAATGAAAACAAAATAAAACACAATTCAGTTATTTGTCCTTTTCTTACTTTTAAAGACTTCTCAGTTTGGTAAAACATCATGAAAAAAATTTTTTTTTCATTTTTTCCTTCCTCTTCTAAAAGCAGTTTATGTTTTAGATAAACCTGTGAACATAAAAAGTTTTGTTTCAAGTCACCCCTCCATAAGAAGATACCAACACATTATTATGCATTGAAGCAGTAAATATAAGAAAAATCCTTCAAAAACAGTATTTGTTTTTATGAAAACTTGGGGACAAATAGAGAAAGGAGAGGTGAGAGGGTGGGGTTTTAATTAATACCATATGCTTAATCTAAAGCATAATTACTATCATTACAAGTTGGTGAAACAATTAGCAGAATGGGGATATGTTCAAAGGCCTCAGCAGTTCTCTCTACAGCAAACTCATTTAAATTAACCATAGAGTGAAGCAAGTATGCCAACATGTAAGAAATCTGATAAGAAGACTGAATGTTTAGGTCTCGAGAATTTCCTAGAAGCAACCTATCAGTTTTGTCAGTTTATAAAGTTTGATAATCCTTGAAGTGACACTGCACAAATTTCCGTGTGTGCATCTGAGACAGCAAGAAATAGAAAGGGTCAACATCAAAATAGCATGCTGTCTACACTGACTTTAATCCAGTACATTACCAAATTATGCCCACAAAGGAACGATCATCTTTAAACATGTCTACAAACATATGGAAAAATAGTGTAGAGGCATGGAACTCGACAAGAACAAGGTATTGGACCTAGTTTTAATATAGGTATGTATATACACACACATTCACACCCCTACACGTATACACCTCGGTAACTACGATTCTTCTCATTTAGTTTCATTAGTTCCTTTTTGGGCATTGAGATTTTGAACAATTAGAGCATCTGAAGGAGGAAGGAATTCTACGCTTGGGCCATGGGTGAAAACAGGTGCATGTGGTGAGCCTCCATCTTCTGAAAGGTGGCCTTGCTCGTTGGTGCAGGGGGCACTTGAGTTATTCACCCCAAGTCTCAGAAGAAGGCCTGGAGGGAGAGTCAGGGACAGAGACAGTCTAAGCTATGCTCAGGAGACACATGCTCAGACAGTTCTGAGGATAACTGGTTCTAACTGAAGTATTATCTTCCAAGAACCATGAAGAGTTATGATATAGATGTTTATAGTCTATGAAAGTGACCGTTTCGTAAAAGCAGCAATCTGTATACGGAAAAGACAGGATACCATGTTGGGAACGCACTGGAGCTAGAGGCATTGTGGCCGGCAGAGAACATGGGCGAAGAGGAGGCAGAAGGTTCCTCTAGACGGTTGCAAGGCGCAGCCCTCTGACACGTGCATCATCCTATGCGGTTCTTACCCAGACCAGCGCTGTCAGACGACATCATCTGCATTTACCAGTGCATTCCTGTCCGTGATCGTTTTCTCTGTTTTTTACAAAGGCAATAGATAGGAAATACAAATAAACCTGGGGGTTAAAAAAAAAAAGATTAAAGTTAATTAAAAGGACAGGCTTTTAGTATTATAGATTTATAATGTTTCTATTTTCAAATGTTCATTTTGCAAGCTATTTATTAATAATCATTATTTAGCAATACATGAAAAGAGGGAAGATATCTATGCTATGAAACGTACTTAGTTTTTCCAGATTCTCTTCTTTATTCTTTTTGTTTGTTTTTTAAACTCTCTCCTCACCTTTTAACAGAGTCTGTGACACCAGTTTTGATATAAATTTTTTTTAATCAAAATACCAAAATAAGTTTAAGTCTTCTTTATTAACTCTGATCATATCTTTCACACTGATATTCTTGCTTCGGTTTCAGGCCATATAACATGTTACTCAAGAAGATGCGGGGTGGAGCAAATGTCAGCTTTGATTCCCAGTTCTACCCTTTGTGAGGTCCTAGCGACTAGCTTTAATTTCCTCAACTGTAAAATGCAGAAATGGCATCTACTTCATAAAGCCTCACTCATTGTAAGAACTTATAAATGTCAGTTACTTTATAATTCTATCTATCCTGCACATACGAACTACTTGCTAAACAGAACTTTACATATAAAATCAATTTATGTAGGAAAAAAAGAGAAATCCTATCTACTACATGGAACAATTATCCAAGCAGCTTTTAGCTATCATGTTTTCTTTTAAATTCTCTAAAGCAATGGTTCTCAAAGTGTGGTCCGTGGACCATCAACAACAAGCGTCACCTAACCTTTTAGAACTAGAAATCCATGGGTCCCATCTCTATAGTGAAGCAGAAACTAGGGCAAGGACCCGTTAACTTGTGTTTTAACTAGCCTTCATGGTTCTTATAAAGCACTCCAGAGTCTCAGAATCACTGCTTGAAATGTGTACTTTAACATACCTGTATGAATGAAACTATATTTATCAATGATACATCTTCTATTCGTCAGTGCTCAGTTTTATGTTGGGCATGTGTTCCTACACACATCAAACGTATCTTTTTGACCCAGGGAATCCTTTTATTAGAACTAACCAAACTGTACCAGAGCCTCTTTCCTTTGATGCTCTAAACTGAACTCAGAATTGGAAACTCTGGGTTCTCGTCCACTGGAATCTTTTGGTAAAATACTAGTTACCCCAACTTTTGTATTAAAAGAGGGTTATAATGCTTTATAAGAAATATGAATGAGAGTATTCATGGACTGAAAAAGTGCCACACAAATACATCCTATATGAAACACACTCCTCTGAATCTATAAATCATGTGCTGATGGCTTATCTAGAGCTAGCATGGGACAGGTTATCTCCCCTACTTAATAACTGACTCACTATTACATTTACATTCGTGTTCTCTCTATGGCACCCAGAGAATTCTTATCTCAAATACGTTAAGTGTTTCTTACCGATGACAACTGCTATGGCCCCTAGTGCTAATCCCAAGACCAGAATAAGAGGTGCAACGAACAATTTTCCAGCTGGAAGACAAAAGGCAAACCATTTAGAGAGTCTTAAACTAAAACCAAGATACAAATTCAACAACGCTTTTAAATGTCACAGTGTGTATTTTTAAGGAGTCATTATAATTAAGGCAATATTTCTCTGGAAATATATCAGGTGTAAAACAAATATGTAAATTTAGTAACTTCACTCAAATCCTGGGCACATGAGTCATCCATCTCATAAATTACTTACCTTATACAACCAAGAAAATTCTAAAGCTACTGACTCACTTTATTCCACCAGAACCATTCAGCTTTGTGCTTTTCCTTTAGATCTCTTCCATTTTAATTTTTTTTTTTAAATATTCTGAAAGACTAAAAAGGGAGTGACACATCCTGAGCTGGCCAAAGAAAATCTAATTAGCTCACAAAATGGAGAGCTAGCAGGGGCTACAAAGGGTTCTGCCCAAGCCCCCATCTGAAAACACGATTTATTTATTTCCTGGGTCCAAAGAAAACTAACAATATGAACATCTAATATACTGAATGACAAATGCGATGTTTCAATACTGTTGTTAGAGAAAATTACCAGTAGACACACAATATACTGAAGGGTATTCAAATAAATCATTTTAGCAAACTAAAAAAGGAAGCACCTATAAGAAGGCTAAACACTGGTAAGGATGCCAGTGGCATCAACCAGCATTTTTTCCTCTGAATGAATAACTGAGCAGTGATTACAATAAACTCTAGTTATAGCACACAGTTCACAACTGGAATTCTACTGGTGTTACAAGGCACTAGCACAAAAATAGGGGCTAATAGTTAACATTTTTACATTGTCATCTTTATCATTACATGGTAGTCTTGATCTCAAAGCATGTAGCAACAGCCACAGAACCCAAACACAACAAGAGAAGAGGAAGGGATGGAGGGACTCTGCAGTAGAATCGCGTTGCCACTGAAGAATCAAGCAGCAAAGACATTCTATAAATAAGGATGGTAATTTGGAATAACCAACTACATTAGAAAACAGAAACATAATGTTGCTGTTTGTTGGAAATTTGTCAGAAAAATATTAACATTTTTTATTCTTAAGAAAGGGTCTCTGGAACCACAGAAAACATATAGACAGAAAATAATTTTTTTAGGAAATATATTTTTTAATATCTAATTTTGAAAAAATTGCCATTCAGTTGACAAAATGTCTAACCATGAGGTTTACTTACATTTTTCACCTATGATATAATTTATCAAGCAATGCTAAATCCCACTGAACAATTATATTTTGTACACTCATAAAGCTATGTTTGAGTTTAGAATATATTGATTTGCATATTTTAAGTGAATCTGTTTTCTCCTGTACATGTAGCTCAATGTGCTCATTCATATTTCTAAGTAATTATCAATTTTCATAAGAATGATATATTTTCATAAAACATGACTGCAAAGTAACAGCACTATTACTTTCAAACATCACAGAACTCAAAGAACCAGATACGTGCTCTCTTTTTCTCTGGGAAGCAATAAACTTATTACAATCATGCAATCAATATTTGATACATGTTTAAGTCTACTTTTAAAACTGTCTTGAGGACAGTTAAGCTCAGATTCTGTTATTCCTACATCAATAATAATTCTTTTAAAATACTATTCTCAATAGCGGAAACAACATTCTATCATATACATATATCCTATCTTATTTAAATATTTTAGTACTTATTTTTTGTTCCCTTTTCTGCTATTTAATTTTTAAATTATACTTGCAAGTACACCATTGTCAGCCTAGATTTATCATATTTTAAAGTGTCTATCACGTTACCATCAAATTTATTTGTAAAAGAACTGCACAAAATTTCCAATTCATTCAATAGAGTATAGAAATTCAATGCAGAGTATTAACGTGACAAAATATTTGCTAATCAATAACCCAAAGAAACCTCATTTTATTTTAATTTACATTTTTCTGACTACTAATAATGCTGAATCTTTTAAAACATGTTTATTAGCTATCTTTATTTCTTCAATTCTGGTTCCAGACTTCTTTTCTTTTTTTAAAAAAAATTGATATTTATTTTTTGGGGGCTTCCATTTCTTTTGCATAAGCTACTTTTGTATATAAGCTACTTGTCAACAAGAAATAAATTAAACACCTGTATTTTCTTCACCAACGTATGCTTTAATACTTTGAATATTTGTATGGAATAATATGGGAACTAAGCATTTTTATGTCACTTTTATTCCCAATAAAAGTGAAAAATCTTTTCACTCTTAAAAGATGAAAAGTCTCATGCACCCAACCTGGGCTGGTGATCTGTTTCACCCTAGATAATATACATGTTTCGATGCTGTTCTCTATTGATAGATCAGCTGTTATCCTTAGGGGAATCCCTTTGTGTGTTATTTGTTGTTTCTCCCTTGCTGCTTTTAATATTTGTTCTTTGTGTTTGATCTTTGTTAATTTGATTAATATGTGTCTTGGGGTCCCAGAGGGATCGGGTGGAGAGGGAGGTGGGAGGGGGGACCGGGATGGGGAATACATGTAAATCCATGGCTAATTCATTTCAATGTATGACAAAAACCACTGCAATGCTGTAAAGTAATTAGCCTCCAACTAATAAAAATAAATGGAAAAAAAATAGAAAAAAAAAAAAGATGAAAAGTGAAAAATTCACTGAAAAATCTGCCTCCTCCCTGAAAATGTGAAAGTGAAAGTGTTAGTCACTCAGTCTTGTCTGACTCTGTGTGACCCCATGGACTGTAGCCCACCAGGCTCCTCTGTCCATGGGATTCTCCAGGCAAGGATACTGGAGCGGGTTGCCATGCCCTTCTCCAGGGGATGGATCTTCCCGACCCAGGGACTGAACCTAGGTCCCCCGTATTGTGGGCAGATTCTTTATGCCTGAGCCACCCAGGAAGCCATTCACTGAAAAATCTGCCTACTCCCGACTAGGGAGACACTTCCATGTCAGAGGCCGCTGACTATCCTCCCATCGCTGCTCTGCCGTACTCTCCAGAGGCAGCACCTCTGCTCTGAGGCTGGGCAGATGGTGACATGAAATGAAGACCTTGTTTCTCACCCTCCAGGTGTGAGAGGAGGGCAGGCCCTTTCCCTGTCTCTATCCAGGACATCTGCAGGCTTCCCAAACTGTAGGTCAGCGGAAGACAGAGGTGAGGAGGGCTGTGCTGCCATCCACCTACTCATCCATGGCAGGGAGGAAGCAAGCTTGCGACTGACACGGTAACTCCTTGTGCTGCCTTTTGTAGGGATGAGATGCTTGAAACTGAACTGCTCTTTTATTTAAAAACACTGCTTATAAAATCATTTTATTCCATTTTGTAAAATGTAATGGGTGACATGGATTACTGTATTCTTAACTGTTTGCCCATAGGAGAAAAGTCCACATTTTCCTGCCATACTTGAGATGGTCTGACAGCTGTCCTGAAGGTGGAAAAATATGTGTAGGAGGAAGGACTTATAAAGCCAGCTGCTCCCTGCTTTGTCAGGCACATCCTGACATACATGAGTATACACATACACACACACACACACGAAAATGGGCCCCAAAAGGAAACCATTTACAGAAATCTGTAAAATTTTAAAATGAAGACAGTACAAAGAAAATATTTCTCTGATGACAATGTTTTTATGGCCTGTCCATCCTACAGGCTGTTAAATAACTTGACTGTATTTTATGATCTGGGAAGAGGATTCTGAGGCATCAAGGCAAATAGTGAGAGGACCTAAAGAGGTGTCCAAATATCATTGGACAAATAGGGTGGGAAATAGCTTTATTTAAGAATGACTAAACAGAAAAATGAAAAAAAAAAAGCAGAGTCTAATCAAAGATTATTAAAAATAAAAATGGAAGGAAACATCCTGCAACAAAAAGGCATTGAAGTAGGAAAGAAAAGAACCAGCAATGCAGGAAAAGATACAGGCGCTGGTTTTCAGGTTGTTCTCTGTTTATATAGACTTACAAATAGGTTATAGCTCAAAAACTTAATTTGCAATTAGCTTTCTCATGGTAGTATTGTTATAAATAGTGGTTATATTCCCTAGTTATCTCTCCAAAGCCTACTAAACTAGTAAGCACATATTGGTTATATAATTGTAACATACACTATTATATGCAAATAAACCAAAAAGCATTAAAAATCATTAAAACCAATCTTGTCTATATTCAATGCTATTGGCTATGGAACATTGCGTTTAACTAAATAAAGCTCAGGAAGAGTGCTTTACAGAGATCATATAAGATTTTAGAAAATGACAGTACTGGTTTCCACATGATAAAATTAAGTTTAAAATAATATGTTCTATTGTTTAGCTGTCAGAAGCATATCATTACCACCAACTGTTCTGAGTAGCCTGCCATGATTCTAGCAAGGCAAGTGGTTTTACAACCCTAATGAAGTGATGGAGGGTTGAAGAGAGATATAAGAGAGTTTCATGAGGTAAGTAGAAAGGGAGAAATGTGGATGATGTTTAAAAGTATTGCATACGTGAGAAAGACTACCAGAGGAAGAAATAATGGAGTTCTGGGTTATGAAAAAAAAGGAAATCTCATGGTAGGTATATTCCAAAGGAGGAGGGAGCCATTAGAAGAACTATTAGGCCAGAAGAACACTGCACACAGGAATCTGTGTTTATGTTTGCATATTTGTATATGAGACCATGTGTTGTTGAGGATGAAGGAAGCAGTAAAAAGTCAATCCATAAAAGCATTTCATGCATGCATGCTAAGCTACTTCAGTCATGTCCGACTCTCTCTTTGTGACCCCATGGACTGCAACCCACCAGATTCCTCTGTCCATGGGATTCTCCAGGCAAGAATACTGGAGTGGGTTGCCATTTCCTTCTCCAGGGAATCTTCCCGATCCAGGGATCAAAACCATGGATATTTAAACTTGGGTTTGTATGCAATGAAGGCATTTGATGCTCATTTCATTAACTGTTAGTTATTAATATTGATATTAACTTCTAATACAATAGAAAATACATACTAATAGAAAATATATATGACTTATCAACTATATAGGTACAGTGGAACTCTATCACAAGACTCTGAAACACAGGGATTTAAAAAATTGTACTGTTATGTCTTCTGTGAACAAACAGAGGTTATGTGTTAAGACCCACTGCTAGGTACTGTCACTACAAAAATAAATGTGACAGTGTCCCCTTTTACCAAATCACTTACAATAGGGTTTCAGAAGACTAATGACTTCACATTTCTGTGGTATATTCAATTTCTCGTTTTTCGAACAAAATCCACTTGCTCATATAGGTAGTATCCTGCTAATAAACTTCAGTTTTTTTTTATTTTAAACACAAAAGGAGAGAAAATGTCTTCCTCATATTTTCAGCTAAAGGCTCTACTAGAATACATGGCAGGTGCTGAGATTTATCATAGCTGCTGGAATACATTTCTAAGCTCTATCATCATCACTGCATACTTCCTGAGGAAGATTCCTATAAATAATGTTGGACACTCACCACAGACTGACCCTCGCACTAATCTCCTTAGGTGAGGTCTCTCTGGGAGGTAGCGATATTTGCATCCAAATATACTGAGGTTTGAGGTGTGGTCTCCAAAGAAACGGAGCTGGCGGTATCTCTCCCCACATCGATAACAAAAATTAGTGTTACACTGTGAACAGGTCATATGGTCACACCCTTCAGTTCTCTGGATGTGGATCTGTAATAGAGAAAGAGGGAAAGAAGAACAAGGTTATTAAATTTTTAATAAAGTATCTATGGAACAAAAGATACAAATTTCACCAAAATAAAAGCCTTAGATAGCATTCCTGAAGCTGTGAGTTTGCTTATAATCACATTCTTTAAGGCCATCTTTGTATCAAACCCTTTAGATATGTAAAGCTCAACAACATTTCAGATGCTGAAGCTGTTCGCTTATTTTGACTAATATAGACAAACACATCCCAAAGAAAATTCACTTATCTTACTAAACATAACATCTCACTCAATGATTAGGAAGCAATGTAAAATGCTGTGAAGGTATATTTTGTTGATGCTATGATAAGCAAAAATGAGGTGGCCTGCGCAATAAGAAGAGACAAAGACGATTCTTTAAAAGAGAGGATTACATAAAATTTTTTAAGGGACAGAAACTTCTCTTTGTGTAAGGGAATGACAATAGGTGTAAAGTGAAAGTGAAAGTCGCTCAGGTATGTCTGACTCTTTGCAACCCCACGGACTATAGAGTCCATGGAATTTTCCAGGTCAGAATACTGGAGTGGGTAGACTTTCCCTTCTCCAGGAGATCTTCCCAACCCAGGGACTGAACCCAGTCAGGCGGATTCTTTACCAGCTGAGCCACCACGAAAGCCCCAGCAGGTATAAGCGTATTTGCAATACCATTTTAGTTCCCAGCGGTAATTTTAGTTGCAAATGCCTGTACAGGACTGTGTATACAATGCTACCTGTACAACTGTTGTCGTTGACAAGTTAACAGGAAAATACAGAAGTTGTTGCTGTCAAGTTACAGGTAAATACTGAGGTTACTTCTTATTTCCCAGGCTACAATTTAGATGATATTACTTACATGAGAATATAAAAATGTGATAATATCCATACAGGGACTAACCCATGTCGGGGCACATACTGAGTCAGATCAGTACAATATTGGTTCCATTTATCCCTCCCCCTTCACTCACCTGAAACTGTGAGGAACCAAATACCTGGGCAGTGTAACTGACATTCCCTGATTGCCAGCTGATCTCCTTTATCACTTCTTCATATGGATGATTCTTAGACTGATGCTAGACTAGACAGTACCTTCCTGGACAGGCAAGGACTAGCTATGGTCAAGGGCATATGGGCATCAGTGGTCAAAGTTAACTACCGATCATTATTTGGTCAATAGAAGCCAAACTTGCTTTTCCTGCTATTGGCCACCTCATCTTTTTCAATTGTATTGATTTTTTTCCCCTTTTACCTGACAGTCCCTTGAGAGTGGACCCAGGTTTTGTGGAGCCTGAAGGTTATCTAATTAGAGGGGCTCAGCAGGTGCACTGGTAAAGAGTTCGCCTGTCAATGCAGGAGGCGCAGGTTTGATTCCAGGGTCAGGAGGATCTCTAGGAGAAGAAAATGGCAACCCACTCCAGTATCCTTGGCTGGAAAATGCCATGGACAGAGGAGGCTGGTGGGCTACAGTCCATGAAGTTGCCAAGAGTTGTAGATGACTGAGCACACGCCCACTTAAAGGAGAAGTGTGCAAATTACAGACTGGATGCCTACAAAGGGGCCCATGCAGACGAGGCTCTCTGCAGCTCAAGCTCTGCAGCTTCCTGGTAACTTCTCCCCTGGTGGCCCCGGAGTGTCTGTTTCTATGAATAATCCTGACGAACAACTGCTGTGACTGCATCCACTTAGCAGAGCAGATGGCATTCAGGAACGATGTAGGCCAAGGCCCTACTTAACCCTTGAATTATTTCTCATCCTTTAAACCACCTGAGCATTAGGAGAAAACATGTTCAGAGACAACTGCCAAGCATCCAAAATAAAGGTTACTTCTTCATATCCTCCCTTTGGACCGTATATTGTATTTGATCTTGATATGGAGATAATAAATCTTAACAGATTTCCTAGTCACCTATCATAGTGTTGTATGTGACCTAAAAAGGGAGAAGGACTAATATTTGCTTAGAGTCTATTACATACCAAACTTTGTACATACATAGCATCTGTACCCTCATGACCAACCATAAGACTGGCATGTTTATTCATAACCAGAGCTCAGAAAAGTACTCTGCTTGAATGAATGGAGAAAGGATTTTGATTCCTGTCTATTTCATTATTATGTTAACATGAAAGTGAAAGTGTTAGTTGCTCAGTTGTGTCCGACTCTTTGTGACCCCATGGACTGTAGCCCGCCAGGCTCCTCTGTCCATGGACTTCTCCAGGCAAGAATATTAGAGTGGGTTGCCATGCCCTTTCCAGGGCATTCTTTACAACCCAGGGGTTGAACCCAGGTCTCCCACATTGCAGGCAGATGCTCTAACCCTCTGAGCCACCAAGGAAGCCCAGAAAGGTAAGCACCCTCTTATCATAAACTTAAAGATAAAACCAGAGGGTCAATCATATCCTTTGTTGACAGTGTCATCATGTCGGCCTCCTACACGAGGCTGTCTGAGTGTTTCTGCTTGGTTTAGTTGCTCTCTGGACTAACCCACATTCTTCCTTTAAAATAATATTCAAACTTTTTCTGACAGGAAACTTGTTCTAATAAGTTAAACTTGTCACTGACAGTTCATTTACCTCAAAATTTCATATTTAATTTTCACTGTTGTTTTACATCTGTTTGTAATACTTTTCATTGTGTTCTAAAATCTTTATGTGGTATACTCATTATTCACTTAAATACCAAAAGACTGTAATTTCTAGCCTATTTTATGTCTTTCCTTATTTCAAAAACAACACTCAAAACATAGCAGGCTACTAAAGTATTGTTAGTCCAATAATATGTCTACACAGGAAGTGATAAAATTCTAAGCTCTGATAATACTCCATAGGAACCCTATATGTTACAGGGTAATATGGTTCTATAGAGTAATCTGAATGTTTTACATTCATAACATCAATGGCTTAAACATGAAAAATGGTTTCAGAACTTCTGTCAGGTACATAGTGAATCCTTTAATACTACTGCAAATATATCTTGATTATATATGAATATTTTATAACTTCAGGCTAAAAGAGAAATGAACTGACATAATGCAAGTTAACTTGTAACAAGAGACATGACTTTTCACATTTGCTAATACGCAAGTTATAATTTTGAACTTCTAACACCCAGAGGATGATAAATTTCATGTGCTAAATGAGTTCCCTGAATATATTTTTAAAGGTCAGTTCAGTTCAGTTCAGTTGCTCAGTCGTGTCCAACTCTTTGCGACCCCATGCACCACAGCATGCCAGGCCTCCCTGTCCATCACCAACTCCCGGAGTTTACCCAAACCCATGCCCATCGAGTCGGTGATGCCAGCCAACCATCTCATCCTCTGTCGTCTCCTTCTCCTCCTGCCCTCAATCTTTCCCAGCATCAGGGTCTTTTCAAATGAGTCAGCTCTTCGCATCAGGTGGCCATTCTTTTCAAAACATCAAAGCTTTTAAAAGTAGGTGTAAATTACATTTATGTAAAGTCCATTTTATTTCTCAGTGAAGCTTTACAAATATTTTTATTATAGCTTCAAAACATTCATCAGTTTATCTCTGCTAAAATATAAACTAATTGCCCAAGTGTAATTCAGCATCAAAATTCTGTATTTAATTAAGAGATGGAGACAGAGTAAGACAGATGAGATATTTCTAATCCACTAGATTAAACTGACTACCCATAAGCCACAAACATCATTTGATTTGTTATCACAGACAGGGTTTCTTCTCTCCATCTATACCAAATAAAGATGGCAGGTACATAAGGAGCTGAATATTTAAACACTACATGTTGCTTATATATCTCTATATTAACAAGTCATAAGATAAAATGTTCAGCATATGACACATATTTCTTTAATATGAGTTTGATACTAAGTCTACATAGTAGCAGTAGATTGAAAAGACAACATGGACCACCTCTGAGCCTGTGACATATGAACACCTGCAATAAGACATTAATCAATGTATGTACCCCCCTCTTCAAGCTGTTTACATTTAGTTTAATAAAATGCCCACAAACTATCTTAAATTCTAGTTCAGTAGAATTCAGCTGTTTATTTTCATACAGATTCTACTTAATTTTAAGGTGGAAAAATAACAATAAATGTACTGCTAAATATCCAACCCATTTTATAACTAAATCAGTACACATCTGCCCACAAGTATTTATCTCCACTTTCACCAAGAATTGAAGATTTATTTTATCCTTTAAGTGAGAAATGATAACTAAATTAACTGTTATCTATTACTGTTCCCAGTAAGATTTAGTCTGTGTATAAACTGATTTTAATGTACGCATTTGCCTCAGTGGCTTTGATATGGGGAGGGATGAATTAGAAACAATAATTATGAGAGAAGGTTTTGAAGATCCGATGACTAACTCTTAGTTCCTGCTTGTCTCACTATACTAATTCTCCCCAACACAGGGATTTTTTTTTTTTTTAATAATTTTATTTTTGGCCGTGCTGGGTCTTCACTGCTGGGTGGGTTTTCTTCAGCTGTGGGGCGCGGGGGCTGCGCTCCAGGGGCAGTGTGCGGGCTCCCCACTGCAGCGGCTTCCCTTGTGCAGAAGGGGATGGGCTCCAGGGCACCGGCTTCCGGCGCGGCAGCACGTGGGCAGCACGTGGGCTCGGCACTGCAGCTCCCGGGCTCCAGAGCGCAGGCTCAACAGTGGGGCGCAAGGCTTAGCTGCCACGTGGGATCTTCCTGCATCCGGGATGGAACCCACGTCTCTCCTGAGTTGGCAGGCAGATTCTCTAACACTGAGCCACCAAGGTCTCCCCAACACCGGGATTTTTAAAAAGCAAACATATATGCAAAGCCTTCAAAGACCCGATTAAAAACATGTACCTAGAATTACTTGCCCAATTGTGAAATAAACAATAATAAGGGCAAAAATGAAACAATTCTAGAGATGCTAAGACTCCTCTGTGCCTTTTCTGAGGCCATGACTTAAGGAAGCACTTCATTAAGTGAATGTGAAAGTCAAGAAGGACAATGTTACCACATACAAAGAAG